TTTAAAAATACAATTCCGTTAATGTATCAAACCGAAACCGTACCGAACCAAAATAAGAAATACCGAACCGTAACGAACTATTTTGGTACGGTATTTGGTATACACAATTGATAAACCGAATACCCAAATACTAAACCAAAGTTCTTAAATACCAAACCGAAGTACCGCATGCCCACCCCTAATATATACAGTCTTTACAAAGGCCAAATGGCCTTAACAAAAAATACAAAAGTACACAAGTACAAAAAAAAAAAGCAAAAAACTTCTACAAAGGCGTCTAAATAGCCTCGTCTTCTCCACCCCCGGATCCATCGGAACCCTCAGAGTCTTCTTCTTCTTCGGGATAGGCCAACTTCTTGGCCTCGGCCTCGAGCCCCTTAGCGGTTTCAATCTTGGTCGATAGATCAAAACCCCGAGCATGAATCTCTTCAAGGGCCTCTCTTCACGACTGTTGCTTCTCATATTCAACAATGTCCTTCAAGCGGTCCTGGGCCGCCTCGGCATCAACCTTATATTGGGCCACCATCTCATCGGCATCAGCTTTAACCTCCACGGCCACTGAATTGGCCGTTTCAAGCTCCTTGGCCATAATTTCTAGCTCAGAGGTGGCCGAGCTCTTCAACCTTTTTGGCCTGCACCTCGACCTTTTATTTTGCTGCTCGAAGTTGGGCCTCAGCCAAAGACAGTTGTGCCTGAGCAGTCACCTTTTTCGAGGCCAGGCGGTCCATCCTGCCCCTCCATTCGTCGGTCTTGGCCTTGACAACGTCCATCTCAGCTCGCAGTTGATCGACCCGATCAATTTTTTGTTGGACCTGCGGATTCCGACTGTTAGTCACCAAGTCTAGTTCATCATCACTAACCTCAAAGACTTTTACCTCTTCCACCAGGACGTCATGTTCTTTCTGATCTACGTCCAACTCGGCCTGAAGACTCTTAGCCTCTTCCTCGCGTTGCTCACTGAGAAGTTTGTACATATCTCTCTTCTCAGTAAGCTCTTTGGCTTCGGCCTTGAGGAGACACAACTCTTCTCGGTATCAGAGGAAGGTCTCGTGGTGAAACACCGAGGCCTGTGAATACAAGAAAAAATATTAAGATCATTAAGTAACCAAATCTGAAAAATGAAAAGAGTTAGTAACACCTTACCCGATTCAACGCCTGTTGTACTTCGTTGAACAAGCATGAATATTCCACCTCTTTCATCCTTGCCTGGTCTTCTCCACTCACCAGGCACCGGAGATAACTAGCTACCCCAACAGGTGCGGAAAGGACCCGAGCGTCCTCTAGAATGGAGATAATGATCGATCGTTTCCAACCGGGATCGACACTCAGGGCAGGGAACCGGTAGACTAATCTCTGGCACGAACTAGACCCACCTGTCCCCAAGGGCGGACTTTTTCTTAGTACTTCTAAATCACCCAATCCGGTGACATCCTCCGTGGCAGTAGAATCCACGCCATAAAAAAAACTTTGGAGGGGATCAATTACTCCTTGCCCCTCATTTGAACGCTCCTTTACCACCTGAGCTTCACCGAACATTGAGTCCGTGAGCGAAGGCGATCCCGTTATATCGATGACACCAGGTGGAGCGGAACCAGTGTCTTGAGGGTTCTCGACCCTCACTGATGCATCAGCCTCATTAGTTTGGGAGAGATTATCCTCTATCATCCCCCCATTCGGTTGATGCCCGTTCTTTAGGTACCGATGACTCCCGGGTCACCAAAATTTCATCCTCTTCAGACTCACCCCTGAGCCGGTAAAGGGAGTCCGAATCAAGTATTCGGGAGCTGGAGGTTTCTTTTGGCTTGCGGATCAGCCTCCTCCTTGGTTTCTTCTTCTCTGAGCTCGGGGAGCTCGGAGCCCTCCTCCTCTTCTTTTCTCCGGCCTGACCCGGAGCAGGACACTTGATGGGCAAGTCCTCCTCACGAGCCGAAGGCCTCAGTTTGACATCCTTGGATAAACTTGAAAAAACAAATAAAACAAGTAATTGGTTAATGATGCAAAAGGGAAACCAAATATTACTCATGAAAGAGATCTCACCGTGCGAACGGGCCTCCCATCGGCCCTTTGAAAGCTCGCACCACGAACGCTCGGAATAAGGCCTTTGTAATATGATGTCCTCGACCCACTCCTTGAGTCGGGGAACTGCATTCGAGATCTGAGCAACAGCTGCACCACCACAAAACACCAATAAGAAGAAAGGAAAAGAGCGATAAATTAAATCTTGGGAGCAAAATTATACTTACGTGACATGTTCCACTTCTCAGGGAATGGCATGTGCTCGGCCGGGATCAAGTCCGAGGTCCTCACTCGGACGAAATGACCTAGCCAACCTCGACCCCTATCTTAATCGATACTCGAGAACGAGGCTTTACTGGCTAGATGGGCGAGCTTTATCAGTCCCCCCGGTAGAGTCGGGGATTGTATAATCGCATGAGGTGGTCGATATTGAAGGGGCACCCTTCGATCTTACTTACAAAGAAATAGAGGAGGATTACGATCCTCCAGAAAGAAGGGTGAATTTGACCAAGGGTTACCTCGTATATTTTGCAAAAGTCGATGATAACCGGGTCCAAGGAGCCCAGCATGAAGGGATAAGTGTAAACACTTAGAATTCCCTCGATGTGGGTGGTGATGGCTTCATCAGGTTCTGGAAGCACCACATGTTTGTCAACCTAGTTGCAATCCTCTTTGACTTCGGGACCTCGAGACCTCCTCACACCGGCTTGGTACGGAGGAGGATTTTTCGACCTTAAAATCAGCATTAACCGGGCACCCCCAGGGATGAACATTTTCAGAGGAGGTTTCGGTACCGGTTCCTCGACACCAGTACGCGAAATGACTTCTTCGTTAGCCGGCTGCGAGGTAGAGAGTTTCTTTTTGGGGAACAGATATTGAAGTCTTCACTATTTCTTTGAAAGATGGAGAAAAAATGAGGAAAAAGAAGAAGTTAAAAGAGTACACTTGATGGTTTGAGATGAAGATGAATGAAAGCTTTTTTAAAAGATCTCAAAGTGAACGGAATATAAGTGCTTGGAAATATTGAAATTTCTTAGACACGAGGGTAGAAGATTTGGATGTAAAGTTTGAATGAACAAATGAGGGGGTATTTATATTTTTTCAGCGAAGGTTGGCATCCATGAGTGGCCGATCGGCAACTGACAAACGTTTAATGCCATTAAGACTCTGTCGCGGGGTATCGAAGTAAGAATCGGAAGCTCATGTCATTTTTTGTCATCTACCCTCCGAAAAACGAGGAGACTATCTGTATACGGTCGAAATTGAGCTCGCCTACAACATCGAAGGACAGGCTCAGAACATGGTTGAAGATCGATCCCAAGTCCCACCGAGCTAGAACTCGGGGTCAGAACGCCTGCCTTCGAGAACGTTGAGTCTGTGATCCCACAATCGACCCCAGCCCCAAACGAGCTCGGAGAAACATTGTTAGCATAACCAACAGAAGACCGAAATATTCGTGACCAGTCGGATATTGCGGCAGGAATCTCGACACGTGTTAATAGAGAATCGATAATCAGCAAATCAAGGGATTTTTACCTTTTATAGAATTGTACCTAAAGTAGGACTCCTATACTATATAAAAGGGGTCTGATTACTTGTAAAAGGGCATGGTAACATGCATTCCAAAGCAATACATTATTATTATCTTTAAGATCTTATTCTTCTGTCTTGATATCGATCGAAATACGTTCGGCTCGAGGGTAGCTAACCTTCCAAGGATGAAACTGTTCAATTCTTGTGGTTTGCATTTACTTTATTATTATTTATTTTAATTGCAATTTGATTTATCATTTTGTGTCAAGTTAATCCACATATCATTAAAATCACTTACAAATTCAATTGTTATCTGATTTTGAGGGTAAACACATGTGTATATTGTAATCATAAAAGTATTTTGAGATGAATGTGTACCATTCTGCAGTGATAACGCTAACAAAGTGGTGTGAAAAGGACTACCATATTATTAACGGAGTAAATATGAGTATCATCATGCTAAATGCAATTGAGGCTGCAAGAATGAAAGTATTTTTCATACTCTGGGCACTTTATTCCTACCCTGAGAATTTGGTTTCTTATAGTTATTCTCAAAAATGAATTTGAGTTTTCTCTTTCATATGACCCCAGCTTTGAATTGTATTTTATTTACAGGTACCATGTGGCTTTGTGCAAAATAATTGTAGAGAAATGGATCAGAAAAATGTCGAATATGACAAGAACTCTCGATCTTTATGTTGCCACTGTTTTTTTTGATGCATATGATACCCTCACCATCTATAAAATATAAGGTGCACGTTCTCAGAAGCTCTTTTGTGTTCTTATGGTTATGGGTAAAACATAATCGTATTGGGACCTTTTTTTCTTTTAAGAGGAACTATTGAAGACTGAAGCTACAATGTACAAAAGCTAGGGACTAAACTGCACTTTATCAAACTTCTAACTGAAATAGGAAATTATTTATTAATTACCTTGTGTTAGTTACAGATATGAAAGAATCTGTAGAGCAGATTCTTCATGTATATATACTCATGATCAGCTCATTGTATAGAGAACAATTCAATGAAATGAATACAATACACTTTACTTCCTCCTCTCTTAAGATCATCTAATTCTCTCTTCTTCCTCGACTCCATTTCTGCTTCTATTCTTTCTTCTTCTGTATTTATTTCTTGAGTTCTTAGCTCGCATAATACTCAAATTAGTTCATGGTATCAGAGTAGTAAAGCCTCAGAGCTTGAAGATCGAGTAAATTCCGCAAATCATTTGAAGAAAGAAAGATCTTTCAAATCAAAGAAACAAGAATGAGTAATACTACAGATTAAGAAGCAATTGCAAGTGCTGTTGCGCCTGGAGGAAGAAACAGTCAAGCTTCTCTGGGAATCGACTATAGTCACCCTCTATTTCTTCATCCGTAAGATGTTAGTGGTATACAAATTATCTCCTTTTAACTTACAAGTATATAAAACTATTCTATTTGGTTTCGTTCAATGAGAATTTCTCTATTAGGAAGGAATAAACTAGGACTTGTGGATGGCTCTTGTAAAAAAGAGGATTTTCCTAAAGCTGTGGGAAATCATTGGGAAAGGGTTAATGCCATAGTTCTTTCTTGGATAATGAGTTCAGTTGCTAAAGGACTTCTAGGAGGTATTATGTATGCTACTAATACCCAGGCTGTTTGGGAAGAATTGTATGAACGATTTAACAAAATTGATGGTTCAAGAACCTTTAATATTCATAAAGAGATTGTTACTTTAACCCAAGAAACTACTTTTGTGTCTAACTATTTCTCAAAATTAAAAGACTTATGGGAAGAGTTTGAGGCATTAGTTCCTGCTCTTAGCTGCAACTTTGAAAAATCCTAGACTGCATCTGCAGAAACTGAAGTTGTTTCAATTCTTAATGGGGCTTAATGACTCATATGCCCAGGCAAGAAGACAAATCTTGCTCATGAGCCTAATGTCATCTGTAAACCAAGCCTACTCTATGGTTATAAGTGATGAAAGCCAAAAATTAGTCAAAAATGTGGCTGGTATCCTCGGTGTTAATCCTGCAGTAATGCCAGGAAACTATGAAGCTACTATGTTCACCAGAAATGGTGGTGGAAATCAGAACCACAAGTTCAAAAAGAACTATAATTTGTAGTGTGAAGTATGCAAACTTAAGGGGCATACCAAAGAAACCTGCTATAGGGTGGTAGGATACCTTCCTAAATTCAGGAAAAGGAAATTTAGGCAATCTGCAGCTTATAATGTACAGATGGACAATTGTACTTCTCAGGCTAGTCAGAATAGTAGCTACAATAATTTTTCACAAGCCAGCTTTCCATCGACTAAACCAAGAGTGGATTACTCTGACATGCAGCATAAATCAGACACTCTTAATGGACAGAATACCAACACTGTCCCTACATTATTTACCAAAGAACAGTACAATCAGCTTTTACAAATGATAAACAAAGAAGAAGCAACATCAACTTACTCATCTAATACAACAGGTAAGCATAATGAGTGCATTACTACTAAGACTCTTCAGGAATGGATCATTGACATAGGTGCAACCGATCATATGGTGTCAAGCTTAAGCTGTCTGAATAGTGGTACTATAATTAAGTCTGAAATACCAAAAAAAGTATTTCTACCTAATGGCGATGTGTCTCTAGTCACACATGTAGGAACAAGTAGTCTGTTTAACAAGGATACTATCACAAATATTTTTCATCTACCACTGTTTAAGTACAATCTTCTATTTTTATCTAAACTAACTAAAGAGCTAAATTGGATGGTTGCTTTCTTCCCTGAATTTTGTGTTTTTTAGGATCTCTTGAGTGGGAAGGTGAAAGGAGTTGGTAGAGAAAAGGATGGGCTATATCTGTTTGTGACTGGTGCAAAGGATGACACAAAAATTGCAGGCTTAAATATTCAAGACTCACAATGCAGAATCAACAGTAATGAAGTTGATATACAACTATGGCATAGTCGACTAAGACATGTTTCTATTTCTGTAATGAAGAAACTTTTATCTATTTCTCAAGAGGCTATAGCAGATAGACTAGCTAATTGCAAAGTATGAACATGTGCAAAGCAGACTAGGCTTCCATTTCCTAACAACAGTATTAGAACTAATAAGTGCTTTGAACTAGTTCATATGGATGTATGGGGGCCTTACAAAGTCTCTAAATGACATGGATTTATCTGTTTTCTTTGAAGTCTAATGTGTGTGTACTCATTCAACAATTTGTTCAGCTCATTAAAACACAATTTGATAGAACCATAAAGGTGGTCAGAACAGATAGTGGCTCAGAGTTTATCAACTCAGTTTGTAGTGAAGTTTTCAGCAAATGTGGGATCATTCATCAAAAGACCTGTGTTTATGCAGCCCAACAGAATATGGTAGCACAAAGAAAACATAGAAATATTTTGAAAGTCACTAGAGCTATAAGATTTCAAGGTGCTATACCAATCAGGTTCTCGGGACTGTGTGTACTAGAAGTTGTTTACATTATTAATAGAATGCCTAGTTCAATACTACAACACAAGTCTCCATTTGAAAAACTATACAAAAGAAAGTCATCCATTCAACATCTGAGAGTCTTAGGGTGTCTATGCTATGGTAAACATGGCAATAAACTGATAAAATGTTATCTAGAACAAGAGTTGCAGTGCATATGGGTTATGTAGAAAATCAGAAAGGATATCTTAATATGAGTTTTTCATCAATAGAGATGTAATATTCAAAGAAACTGTCTTTCCATTCTCTCTCGGTACAAACAAACAACAAAATTAGTCCATCTTCAATGATACTACACAAGGCCAACAATATCTATACACTGAACTGTATAAGACAACACTTCAATATTGCTAGTCCTAATGATCATCAAGCCAAAGAACAAGACATCCCTATACAACATAATCAGCAAACTTTAGAGCCAGAAGCTGATATAGCTGCACCTCCATCACCAGTGTCAGTACATCAGGAAGACATAATGCAACTATCCACTCAAGGTAATCCAGTAGAGCCACACATAGATATTCCTGCAGAACCACAAGTAAATCAAAGAAGATCAGAAAGGGAAAAACAACCACCTATATGGATGAAAGATTTTGTGTCAGTCAATATTCGCAAAGACACACCTTATGCCCTATCTAACTACATCACCTATGACAAACTAAATCCACAACATCAAACCAACATTGCAAAAATTTCAACTGTGACAAAACCAAAGTCTTATTCTGAAGCATTAAAAGATCCAAGATGGGTAGATGCTATGAAAGATGAGATTGAAGCATTACCCAAAAATCATACATGGGAGATCACTTCACTACCAGCTGAAAAAATACCTATAGGTTGTAAATGGATCTATAAAGTAAAATACAAGTCCACAGGTGAAATTGAAAGATTCAAGGCAAGGCTAGTTGCCAAGGAATATAGTCAACAAGAAGGGATAGATTATCATGAAACATTTTCTCCAGTTGTAAAGATGAAGACAGTTAGAACAATTCTAACACTTACTGCATAGAAAAGATGGTCCATACACCAAATGGATGTATATAATGCATTCCTACAAGGTGATCTCGATGATGAGATATATATATGGAATTTCCACAGGGATTTAGGACTCAGGGGGAGAACAATAAATCAGTATGTAGACTCCTTAAATCCCTGTATGGACTAAAACAAGCTCCTAGATAGTGGAATGCAAAACTATCAGAAGCTCTGCTAAGAATGGGGTTCAAACAGAGTCAGTATGATCATAGTCTGTACTTGAAACACACTCAACAAGGGGCTGTTCTAGTATTAGTGTATGTTGATGATATGCTCATCACTGGAGATACACTTACTCTGATTCAAGACATAAAGAACAAGCTTGCACAAGCTTTTAAAATGAAGGATCTAGGAGAATTAAAGTTCTTCCTAGGAATTGAGTTTGCAAGGACAACTCAAGGTATACAAATGCATCAAAGAAAATATACTTTGGAGCTTATTTCTGAGTTAGGATTAAGTACTGCCAAACCAGCCTCTTCACCTATGGATATCAATGTCAAATTGACTACAAAGAATATGATGATCACTTGGCAAAAACAAGAACTAACACAACTGTTGATCCTCCTACTGATCAACATGCCTACCAGAGATTAATTGGAAAGCTACTATATTTAACTATGTCTAGACCTGACATCTCATATGGTGTTCAAACACTAAGCCAGTACTTACGTCAACCAAAGAAATCACACATGGAGGTTGCTTTGAGGATTGTCAAATATGTGAAGAAGGAACCAGGAAGAGGCATTCTACTGTCAAGCAATAAGTCAGAAGGAATAACTGCATACTGTGATGCAGACTGTGCAGCATGTGCACACTCAAGGAAATCAGTAACAAGGTATCTCATCAAACTAGGTGATTCTATTATTTCATGGAAATCAGAAAAACAAACTACCATATCCAGAAGTTCTTCTGAAGCAGAATATAGAAGCATGGCAGCAACTGTTGCATAATTAGTTTGGATATTGGGACTCATGGAAGAAATAAAGGCTGAAGTTAAGCTACCTGTTGTGATTTACAGTGACAGCAAATCTGCAATCCAAATTGCAGCCAATCCAGTTTACCATGAAAGGACAAAACATATGAAAATAGATTGTCACTTCATAAGGGAGAAAATAGCTCAAGGCCTTGTCTCAACTCAATATATTTCTACAAAAGAACAACCGGCAGATATACTAACTAAGGGATTAAACAAGGTGCAACATGAGTATCTCACTTCCAAGCTAGGAGTACTGAACATATTCACTAAGTCCTAGCTTGAGGGGGAGTGTTGAAGACTGAAGCTACAATGTACAAAAGCTAGGGACTAAACTGCACTTTAGCAAACTTCTAACTGAAATTAGGAAAGTAGTTATTAACTACCTTGTGTTAGTTACAGATATGAAAGAATCTGTAGAGCAGATTCTTCATGTATATATACTCATGATCAGCTCATTGTATAGAGAACAATTTAATGAAATGAATACAATACACTTTACTTCCTCCTCTCTCAAGATCATCTAATTCTCTCTTCTTCCTCGACTCCATTTCTGTTTCTATTCTTTCTTCTTCTTCTGTATTTCTTTCTTGAGTTCTTAGCTCGCATACTACTCAAATTAGTTCAGGAACGGGTATCTTTCATTTTGTGATGCTAATAAGATATTTTAAAGATAAATACAAGTTAAGTTTTGAATCGCGGGCAATAGTAGCACTTATGATATGTCCTAAATTTCATGATATGTTAATCGTGAACCGTTGCATAATACCTCACTAGGACTTAAATTTTCCTAATAACGTAACTGAACATTTTCTTTTCAAAGATATTCTGTAAGGTGCTTAGCCAATAGGTCTTTATACCAAAAACAAAGACAATCTGTGGTTAGCCAGTATGATTTAAGGTGTGTGAATTTTTTTTCCAAATTTGCATTGATCATTTGGTTCTATAATTTCATCAATTGCAGGTTACAAACAAGCATTGTTGGAAAGCAAATGTATAATCATATCATTTATTTCATTAACAAGATCATTTTTCATAGTTCAAATAATACTGGAACTTATAGAAGATGAACGATAAATGAATGCATATATGTCACAATTACTTACTTAAAATATAAAGATTAAAAGATTCTGTTTCATTAGTAAAAGGGTTGATAAAATTAGGCAACTTTTAATTTTGTTATTGTTATTAGTTCTTTCTCTCCATTCCAATTCTCATTACACGCTACCACAAACACAGGATCTTTTTTTGTCCAACATGTATAAGAAATTATTTCCCCAGGTGATTTCAATTATCAAAGTATAAGATGAACTCCTTACTAAGAAAAATTGCAGGGTACCCTATTATTCATTTTTTTAAAACTTTTTGGTTCTTGTAGTATCTCTCTTATCTTTGAGATGCTGCAGCGTTTTCCTTCTTTTGCCTTAACACTGTATTTTTCCTTTCTAATTTTCTACAAATACTTACTTGGTGGTAATTTATTGTAGAACAAGTTACACTTCTCTATTTACAGTGAACTCATTTTAATTATTTGAACGAAATATCTTGCTTGGTTATATCATGTAATTGACAGGCTCTAATATATTCGTCAAGAGAGCATAAGTGAGTAAGATGATTAATCTTCAGAGTGGATGCATCGATATGCAATAAGTTTCTTTCATGGAAGATAAAGAATGCACCTTTTTGGAATCACTTAATATTTCAAATGTAGATATTTAGTAATCTTTTTATATCTTGTGAATCTTTGTTCCTCAATAAACTTATTGACTTGACAATGTTGCTCATTTTTCCTTTAATCCCGCTAAATGCTTGATATCCTCAGGTAGAAGGGATTAGAGCTTTTTGGCCTTGAACCTTTCCTGCAGTCTTATAGCAGTAAGTATGTAATTTAAAACCAAGTGGGAAAAAAGGAGGATGTCTATTAGTTAAAACTTAGAAAGACTAGTGGGAAAAAAGGAGGATGTCTATTACTAAAAGCATAATATTTGTTATTTTAATAAACTGGTTTCTAGGGAGCGAGTGGTGAGGAAAGAGGATTGCGAACAAGAGTTAGGAGATTGATTTGCCAATTATGGGAGTTGGGGAAGAATAAGTTTTCCCAAGTTGAAAAACTTAGTTCATCAGTTGAAGAAATTATTCACCAACCAAACATACGTTATTCACAGTTACATGTGCGTTTACTTCTTTTTTCAGCCTCAATGATATCTCGATAGTATTTTTTGTGCTTCTATTTTGTCTCTCGAGTTTTTCAAACAAGCATTTACATCTTTTGGTGTTTGAAGCCTGCTTTGAAATTTTGCAAGTTGCTCCATCAGAGAAAAAATTCAGCTGTTATCTCCATCACATATATTACAGAGTTCAATTAGAAGATAAAAACAAGCTTGCATTACTTTAGGAGATATATTTAGTTTCCAAACTCTCAATTTTGTAATTAATACTGAAGTAAGGGTACATAAAGTACCTTTAATTTGTTAATGCTGCTACGATTCAATCAATGACTGTTATAACATAATAACGTTGTCATATGCTATTCACAACCTTTAACTAAGACACACATAAATTAGAATTAAGCGTGTTGGAATTCTTGACTTTGCCATCAATATTTCCCTTGAAAGCTTATGATTTCTACAAACTCCTTGTGATCGAGTAAGAGGTTGAGAAATGAGAATTGTTTTTCGTATCTGCAGATCCAGGATTCTTTTACTGCAAGAAGTTTACTTACATAATGTGATTTATTCTCATACCTTACTAATTATGATAAGATACTGGAACAATTTTAATTGTCGGGCCGTTGGGTCCGTGCTTTAGCACGGGATAATCACATCTAGTTTGAACATATATAACTGTACAATTTAAGTACCTACATAGGGAGAAAGACTAATAAAAATAACGAAGACTAGTTTTTGAACTAAAAAATAAAGATTTAAAAATAAGAGGGACTTCTAGTTTGGTTATTCTTATTCCTCAAAATAAAGTAGGTTACTTGCTACAATAAATAAATAAATCCTAATAAAATTAACTAAACAAAGAGTTTATGTCACGACTCAAAATTCACTAGTCGCGATGGCAACTAACTCAACCCGCTAGGTCAGCTAATTAACAGTTAACACAATTCTAATAAAATAAAAGTGATCAACAAATGATATATCTGGATTCCGTACAATATCCCAAGGATTGGTAGTACAAGTCATGAGCTACTAAGAATGGATTTCTTTTTGCAAAAACTGATATGAAATAAATATAACTTATGTTTGAAATATACATAAATAAAATTCAACTCTAAAACTACCGAGGGACAAGTGGTAGTTACATCCGGAAGACACGAACAATCAGAGTCAACTCCCGTCATCCACCGCATCTCAGCTCCAAGATCTACACGCAAGGTGCAGAAGTATAGTATGAGTATAACCAACCTTATGTACCCAGTATCTTGTCTAATCTCAGTGAAGTAGTAGCGCGACTTTTTAGTTAAAAGATACTCACTGATATAACCTGTGCAGTAGACTAGCAATAGAAATAATACTAGAACATAACAGAAAAGAGTACAAGAAACAAATATGTGAAGTAGTAAATGATTACTAGAAGAAATCATGGTCAATATTCCTCAATATCAAGACCAATCCTTTCCTTAAAGCGATGACCAACAAACCACAGTAGTAAATTCATAACTTTCAAAGCGTGAGAAATCTACTCAAGATATCAAATCAAATGGCACGGCAACATCCTTCGTGCATTTATCTCATTCTCACCAAATATATGTATAAAAGTACCAATCGGGTGAAAGAAATGCCTATAACCGTAACTACAAAGTGGGAATTGCACAGGTAGCAACAACGAACAAGACAGTACATATGGACAACAGTAACAGACTAGGTAGAAGGCATAAAAGTTATGACAACAACTAAGATAGAAGAATATAAATTTCACTAACTAACATGGTAGAAAGCTTAGATGTATATATAACAAACAAGAGGAAAAGCATGATCTTTATAAGCTAAACAAATAGAAGGCATGAATAACTAACATGATAAAAGGCTTAGATGTAGATATAATAAACAAGAGAGAAAGCATGATCTTTATAAGCTAAACAAATAGAAGGCATGAATAACTGACAAGGTAGAAGGCTTACACGAAAGTGCAACAAATGAGAAGCGACATATATGTAGATATGACAAACAAGAAGGAAAGCATGATATTTACAAGTCAAACTGATAGAAAGCATGGATAATACAACAACAATTGAGGTAGAGGATAAAGACAAAATAACAATGACAAGTCACATAAAAAAATATAGTGCAACAGTAACAACACAAGGTAAGGGCATGAATATATACACATGGAAAAGATATCACAATATAATGCATGTCACTCGTCCTCGTCTGTACGGAAACATTGTTCATGCTATGAACACATAATAATATCAAAACAATGGTACAACATCACCCTTTGTTCTTTTACTCTCATCCTCACATGGCACGGCATCGCCCTTCATGATTTACATTCCTCCTCACCAAGCACATGTATATCAATAACAAGCAAGTTAGGAAGCATGAATAACAACAAGGAGAGTGATTAAGCGAATATTCCAAATGAACATAAATCACCGCTTTTAATCCAATAACAATTCAACAAACCTCAAAAACCTCATTGTTCAAGTATCTCAACCAATCTAAAAAAAATGATCTTCAACTCAAGTATAGAATCCAATATCTCAAAAATAACAGTCGTAGCGATGTATTTGTGATTAAGTATAGTGATGATCGAATTTAGTACATTAATAGTTTCACAAAAATCCGTCAAATTTTAATAAGGTTTTAATAAGCTAAATCATGGTTCTTAGCGTTTAACTTCGTATTCATATTAATCTAGAAGTCAAGTAATACTTGAAGCAAGAAGGTCACATAAATTCTATAAAGCACAAATACTCGTATAATCTACCCCCAGGCATGATTAACCCTGTCACATACATATACGCTT